CTTTATAGTGCATTTTTAAGTAGAAAATGAATGACTTCAACCAAATTTGTATATGTTATTTAAACTAGTTATTGCAACACATAAAAACATAAAATTACTCAAAATGTTACAAAATGTGGACCTTACCGTTAGTGAACATTTTCAACACATGTAAAAAATTCTGTTATATACAACTGCGAATTTTACTAATACTCTTTTTATCTTTTTTTTTCTGGTACCTAGAGTTGTTTTTTTCTTCGTGTTTTAAACCAAATGTTTATGTCATTATAATGGAATAATAAACAATTATTGATTGGTTACGAAGACAACAATAATTGTTTTATTCTGCCCTCCCCCACCACCTTCTTCTTTTAATTTTACCGAAATTTGATTAACTAATGCTATCACATAGTGTATTTTATCTACATTATCAGGCCTACTTCTGCATAATCAAATGAGCAATATGTGTAAGTCAGTCTGTGCGTGAATGTGTGCTAGCTCACAAGGAAACCCATTATTCCTATTGGCTAATTGTGTTTTTCTATTTATACCAGTGCAAAAGTTAAGGATGTTTAACGTGTATTGACCTACACGAGTGCAAAACTACGACGTATATAACTTTAACTTTAAAAACAAGTACTTCAGTAACATAACCAAGCACACAAGGAAACACATTAAGTTAATTATTTATCTTTTCGTGGCTTATAAATAATGCAACACCATAACACCTCAGTTACAGGCTAAAGTTACTATTTAAGATCATTTGGTATTTTTTAAATTCTAACAATATATTGTGGTGCAGGCTAAACTTACTGCTTCAGTTCATTTCGTATCTTTGAATTATGCTCTAACAATACTTAAAAATCAACAATTAGACCTTCAAATTTATATATGCTTCGTACGCGAAGCACAAGTTTGCCCGCTATAATAATCAACATCAATTAGCCTTAATAGTCATTGCCTCAACTTCATTCATTTTCGATACTCTACAGCTAACACATTGCACGACAGAAAATAAATTTTAAAGGGTTTCAGGTGATATTCAAATACGATTTAAACACACATACACACAATAAGTTTACAAAAACAAAACAAAAATATACACATGACGACAGTTGAGCTTTGCACTTATTGCTAATATAATTTTAAAAATTCAGTATTTTATAACATTTAACTATCTTAATACAAGCGTCTGAAAATTGACAAGTAGGCCTAAAGTTTAAATACATTTCGTACGCGAAGAACGAGTTTATTCTTAGGGAAATAAAATGTTACACCATTTTCGTTATGGGTTGTAGAGTTTGTTTGTTTGTTTTAAATTTCGCGCAAAGTTACACGAGGGCTATCTGCGATAGCCGTCCCTAATTTAGCAGTGTAAGACCAGAGAGAAGGCAGCTAGTCATCACCACCCACCGCCAACTCTTAGGTTACTCTTTTACCAACAAATAGTGGGATTGACCGTCACATTATAACACCCCCACGGATAAAATGGGCGAGCATGTTTGATGTGACGTGGATTCGAAACCGCGACCCTCAGATTGCGAGTCGAGTGCCCTATCCACCTGGCCAGGTCGGGGTGGTAGTGTACCTGACACTTTTTAATACTTTAGGGGAGAGTAAAAAATAGTTGATACCATTATGGTAGGAAAATAAAATAAATGAAATAGCGCTAAATGAAGACAGTTGATTTTTACATTTCTTGATACCATAATTTTAAAATTTATCTATCTTATAACACTGCTTTATGAAGAGTTCGATCAAGGAAAAATTTTAAGATTTTAGTCAAAGGTACTGATTATTCACAAAGAAAGACAAGGTGTTTATACATAAAATATCGTGTAAAGAGATATATTTCGTTTATGGTCATTCCGCGTTTTTAAACTTCTTCACTAAATCTAAATACAACAACTCCATATTCTGCTTAATATGTTTTTGTTTCATTCATGTCCAACTAAATAATGCAATAACAGCATTATTTAAAGGATTTATCTATTTAAAACATATACCCTACTCATATGCATAATATTCCACTTAATAATGCTGCATATGTGATAAAGATGTCTGGGCTTTGGCTCATATGGCATTACGCTTCGTATGCGGGAGATCGAAGATTCAATCCTATCTGTATTCATTGTTTCTCCTAAACAATGTTTCATTAATCAAATAATCTTAGTACTTACATCGTACGCTAAGCGCGAGTTTATCCTCTAGTGTTAATCTTAAAGTTTAACATTTCATTGAAGATTCTGAGAGACAATAATAAATCAATAAGATTCTGAGAGACAATAATAAATCAATAAGATTCTGAGAGACAATAATAAATCAATAAGATCGATCCGTATTGTAATCAAACAATGTTTCAGTGTCTCATTATAAACAATTTCAACTCTTAGGCCTATTCGTCTGTACACAGCGTGGTCACAAGTAAATTGACACCACCTTTTCATAAAAAATGAAATTTTTCAGTCATATTCACATGAATTGATATATTTATAATTTCATTAATATCTAGTAGATCTTCCTTTCGCTTCGTAGAGTTTGTTGATCCTTTGGGGCATCGTGAGAATCATCTCGTCAATTTTAGATTGTGGGATTTTCGCCCACTCTTGCTTCAAAAGTTGGAGTAGATCGCTCTTCGAAGTTGTTTTTTTTATTCTTGAATTGCCGGTCGAGTATGCCCAAGAGTTTTCGATGGGGTTCATGTCAGGAGATTGGCTCGGCAAGGGCAACTTCTGGATACCATTTTCTTCCTGCCACTTTTGGGTGTTTCTAGCCGTGTGACACGGTGCTCCATCTTCCTGGAACAACGTTGTATTCTTGTTCACGAAATCCGAGGAATAAAGTGGCAAGAGCCCTTCCTCCAATATTTCGACGTATTTCGCACAATTTATGTGTTCGCACTCCACTAAGCTCGATCTCCCACCAACCCAAACAGCTCCCCAAACCATCACGCTGAAACCACCATGCTTCACAGTTGGCTGCAATCTGTTGAGCCAAAACTCTTGGTGAGGCATTCTCCAGACCCATATCCTTCCACTGTCCGAAAATTGAGCGAATCTTGCTTCGTCTGAGAACACTACGGTCTTCCAAAAGTTCAGAGGCTTGGTCATCATATCACTTGCCCACTTTATTCGTCTGACTATGTTGATAGGTCTTTATA